AATTGCAGGAAACTTATACATTCAGCAAGATGAGTGTGAAAGTTGATGGGGAAGATATCAAGGATTTCCATCAGACTGGTCTGTACTACTTCCTGATGCTATTAAATGCATTGTATCATATACCACTCAACACGGAGGTTATTCTCTGGAATAGTTAAATTGCTACATTGATTCAAAGTAATAAGAATATATTTTAATATTACAGATACCTTTTAGATGGACAAGTTACAATGAACAGTAAACTTTACACGGCACTGCATCCCCCTTGGGTGGTGGTGGTGGGGGGGGGGGTGTTTATGTACACTGATACCTTCACATGCCACTAGTGGGAACCACAGGTATTTTACTTTTAGTTTGACAACCACTGGTTAAAGTAAATAAATCAATTTAACACTAACTTTAAAGATTCTGTTAGAAGTTTAAGTGGTGTTAACATATAATACTTTTATTTTAAAAAATTGTCGGACATGTGGGCTGAACTAAAATACATCATAAATCTTTGTTATCTTGCTTTATGTTAACCTGCATCTGCTTATGCATCATTATGAGGGGCTGTAAGGGACATTACTCAGAATTACCATGTATATACATATATGAAGCCAGTCATTCACATACTATACTGAAAACTGCACACACATACTGTACTAGTGAAATCTCTTACATACACTACTGAAACACTCGTACACAAATTATTGAACAATTATATGTTTACATACACAACTGAAAAGCTCTCGCAACAACTAGTGAAACCTTTTACATGGACTGCCGAAAAGCTTTTACTCACACTAGTAAACTGAAAAATTTCCTCTCACATATATGAAACCAAAGTCATTCACATACTGTACTGAAAATCTCACAAGTAAAAAGCTCTCATAAAAACTAGTGAAACCTTTTACAAACACCACTGAAAAGCTATGCTAGGTGATTGTCCAGGGTGTCCCCACTCTCATTTCTGTTAATGTTCTCAGAAAATGTGACGGCATTCTGGCAGTCTTCCACATATGTTGAACTGCACACTTCATTTGACATGAACGTTCAAGTCCAAGTATCATCAAATATCAAAGTCTACA